CTCCCTCCCTCCCGAGGCAGAAGATGGCTGAGCGCAGCCTCCCTGCGGGATGGAGGTAGCCGGCCCTCGGCGGAGCCGGCGTGCGGGGAGGGCTCCTTCCCGCCGTGCTGCAAACCTTCCTCGGTAGGCGCGGGAGGGATCTGTCCCAGCCTCACCTTTCGTGCGGGAGGGATCTGTCCCAGCCTCACCTTTCGCGCAGGAGGGATCTGTCCCAGCCTCACCTTTCGTGCGCGTTGCGGTTGGCTTCACCCGTCTTTCCTATGGCTGGGATATACAGCTCTACTCTGAAGACCCTGGAGGATTTAACTTTGGACTCTGGTTATGGGGCAGGGGATTCCTGCAGGTCCCTTAGTCTCTCTTCTTCCAAGTCCAACTCCCAAGCCTTCACCTCTTCTCAGCACAGAGGCAACTGGTGGTACTACTCGGGCTCCATGAACAGTAGGAATAACAGCTGGGATACCGTGAACACTGTTCTGCCGGAAGACCCCGAGGTTGCAGATATCTTTTCCAAGTGTCCTAAGCTGCCGGATCTAGAGGAATACCCTTGGACTGATGAGGACATCGGAAGAATACTCAGAAAAGGGAAGGGAGACGGCAATAGCAGAACCTTTTCTCAGGAAGCTGTCAGGCGGCTCTCGCAGTTACTGAGGCGCGCCTTGATCAGGGTCTCCAGGGAGGCTCAGCGGCTCAGCGTGATGCACTCCAAGTGCACCAGGTTCGAGGTGCAGAGCGCTATCAAGCTCATCCAGAGCTGGTCGTTGTCGGAGAGCTGTGTCTTGGCGACTGTCAAGGCGCTTTCTCTGTACAGCATGAGTGCTGGCGACGGACTGAGGAAAGGTAAATCGGCGAGATGCGGCCTCACCTTTTCAGTGGGGAGGTTTTTCAGGTGGATGGTGGACACTAGGATCTCGGTTAGGATCCATGAATACGCAGCCATCTCTTTAACCGCGTGCATGGAAAACCTTGTAGAAGAGATTAAGGCTAGGGTTTTGGCGAGTCAGAGCCCGGATGGTGGAGGAGGGGAGATCTCCGCTGAAATCCTGGAGATGGTTATCAACAACGATGCTGAACTTTGGGGAGTGTTGCAGCCTTACGAGCATCTCATCTGTGGGAAAAATGCTAACGGTAAGATCCAGCTTTTGCGATTGCTAATCTTCATACCAGCAAGCTTTACAGTAAAACTGCTGATTTCTATAGACTTGGGGTTTTTTTTTTGTTTTTTCTTTTCATCTGAATTGCATCTCGGTTGTGGTTTGTGTGTGCGTAAAGCTGACACGACGGTTTTACCAGGCAAGAATGATCCTGCTTTACTCTTAAGGTGTACCAGTTTATAAACGGCACAGAGACTGTGGGAAACCAAGCCCCGTTGTCTCAACAAGTATCTCCTGACTTTCTACCAGCTGCTGTTTTGAGCATTTTTACTATAACTGGCATGTAAACGTGCTTCTCCGTAACCATAAGATGAAACGTGCTTTACAAGCTGCCCTGCAGAAAACACAGCCTCTGTTTTTAAACAAAATTTATGTTATAGTGAGTACCTTGCAGTTTCATCTTAAAGATGCTATTCCCACATGCAGCCTGGAGAGGGAAAACAACATTAATTTTTTTTTTCTTTGCAGTAGTAAAATTCAGTTTCTGAGCAAAAACTTACAACTACATGTTACTTAGACTTCTCGCTAGTTTAGCAGAAACCTGTGTTGTAATTACACTCGTGCAATAAACAAGAGCCTGTGCTTAGCTTGCCAAAGTGAGCATGTAGGATGGTGTCTCGGTAATGAGAATAACGTAGCATTAAGATACTTACCTCTGTAATTTGTTTAGAAAGCAGACTTTTTGAACAGTTAAGCAAATAAGCAGATAGAGGAATGTTGGCATCTTCCTGTGAGACTGAGGAGAGATTTGAAAGGCTTAAGTCATGACAGTTCTGGTAAGAAGCTGCGCTGTTTATCTTGCATTGTCACACTGAGGAGTACCATATTTTTCCGTGGAAAACGGGGAAACATTCAATTTAGAAAACTATTCTGTGTACCACACACAGCGTCATGACTCTTGCTGGCCTCATCGTTACGGTCAGATATTCCATGCATAATACCTTTCTGATTTAACTCTTTATAAAACCAAGTGGCTTGGTCCTCTTCAGAAGATACTCTCATAACAAGAGGCAAGTAAAGGAGTGGATTTTCTTTGGGGGGAAAAAATATACCTTAGGTGAACTTTAGCAATGAAACGCTTTGTCAGAGAAGGGCTGACTCAACTGCTGCTCCTTGGGTGCATTGATTCCCTGCAGTTATCCTATACTAAAGCAATAATGTCGCAATTCAGATCACTGGTAGATAGGTGCAGTGACTGTCCCCAGTGAGTCAGCCTGGTTCAGATTACAACGTAAGAGGATGGTTGCTGCTATGGTGCTCACAAAACCTCTCTTATGTGCTCTATCTGCCCTCTGTCCGCTGACAGCGTTACTGAACGTACCTGAAATAAATGTGAGAGCCCTTTGGGATGTGCTCCTGGCGCTAGGGCAAGGCATAACTGTAACTTTAGATGTCTAGGTTTGACTTTTACTTTTTGAACTACAAGCTCTTCGATGGAACACTGTAAAGGCATGGGGATGTCTTGTCCTCTACCAAAACACTTGTCAAGATTCTTTAGGTACCATGGGGGTATTTGTCACCAGGTCCAAAAAGAGAGCTCGGTTCCCTCTCTTGTTCCTTATTCAGGGAAGCTGGAGCGAAATATTGTGGTTCTGTAAAGTGAAACATGCACTTAGCCATTCTCTGCTCAGTGCTCCTGCCACGCAGGTTCTGTGCGTAAAATGGAGAGGAAGAGTCAGTCCCTCACAGAGCTTTTTTTTCTTACGAGAAATCTCCTTCTTGGAAAAATTGCAATGAATGAATGGAAGCTGGTGTTCAATGGAAACATGAGTGACTCTGCAGGGAAATGCTTATAAATATTCAAACCACCAAATGGTCAGTTCTGATAACGCTTGTGTAGTGTAATACCGAGCAGTCACTGGCCACAGAAGGGTTGGCTTCTGTTGCCTCTTTTGTTGTTCTTGTCTTTCAGATCAGTTCTGTCGATAATTGAATGCATTTTTTAAGTCTGGAAATTGAATAAAACTGCACATGAAGGTATCCTGTGACAGTCTGTCACTAGTACTTTACCTGACACAAGTCAGTGAATCTTCCAAATGGCTTTTCTTGCAATTGTAAGACCACAAATGGTTTTATATGGATGCAAAAAGCTTGAAATAACGTCGTTATGCTTTCTCCCTGTAGGAATTGTAAATTAGTAGTATTCACATCATTCTCCACGGTGCTTTCAAATGATCTTGTCTTTTACATTTATTTAAATCTGAGGTAGATCTAGCGGTAAAATGACTGGATTTATTCCAGTATAAGGAAAAGGCAAACTTGCTTTACTGTAATTTTTTTTTTTCTTTTATAGTAAGAACATTTTAATGGAGTACTTATAAATTGCGAACTTGGCATATGTTTGCTGGGTTTTGTTTTATAGCACCGAGTCTGATGCTAGAGATAAAAAGCACTTAGAGGTTAAGTTCTAACTCCAGTCAAGCATTGCAATCTCTGGATGAAATCCATGGCAGCGTACTATGCAGGAGATTGCACTGGATTATCATAATGGACCTTTCTGGCATTATGATCTATTGAATACAATTTTCATTATTAGATCAGGATAGCATGCTGCTTTGGAGTCTAAGAAACAGTAAGTAAGTACATAAATCTTCATAGAATTCTCAAGAGACTGAGGTTTAGGCCTGTGTTTCCTCAGGGACTAATGTCCCATCAAAGACAGTAGTCCAGTCACTGTTCTTAAGGCTTTGGAGGCTGAAACCTTCATATTCTGTAACAAACATGGTTTAGGCAACACCTGGTGTGTGAAGGGTAAAGTTTAAAACTCTAAATGCCGAAGGGGAATTTTAATATTATTTTTAAATACATAATAATCTGTGGCTTATTTATTTATTTGCCCTTTCTGTGAAGCTGTTCTTTAATCAGCTATTTGCTGCTTCTGTGAGACATTTTGTGCTGTTAGTGCGAGTTCTGACTTCACTCTTGGGACTCGGTCTCTCTGCCTGGGAAGGACGAATGTCATCTGAGCTTGTGGCCGTGAGGAGTTCTGTAAAGCTCTCTGGGTGTGTTAATGCCTCCAAGGGCAAAGTCTTTTCAGACAGAGTCTAGGTGGGACGTTGCAAAAATAATGCAATGCAAGCTGGAACGAAAATGAAATAAAAGCGGTAAAAATGGTAAGCAGCTACCGAACAATGTAGCAACTGGAAGGTAAAAAAGTCATATGAATTGGAATACATGTTTTATTTTCTATTTCTAGTTAGATGGAGATATATGATACGCATTTGTTTGATATAGCTAAAGTAGAGAATGCATCCAGTAGTTTCACAGAGATTTGAAGACATGCTAATTTGGAATATTGGAGTCTGTTCATTTAAAACGTTAGTTGGGAGACGAAGAGAAATATGAATGTACCTTGGAAATGTGATTCTTTTAACTTGATGTTCCTGTGTTTGACTGGTGCGTGGTTCATTAGAATCTGAACTGTCAGCGCTGCAAATACGTTTTGGTATTATTGCCCTATAAACCGCAGCACTTACGTTGTACTTAACTATCTGGTTATTGCCGAGCACTCCTGCGACAGCCGACACACCTGCTGTGCTATTTAATGCATCAGCACATCCTGGGGTTCTGTAGCTGTAAGTGTTGACAGATGTTTTTGCAGAAAAAAAAGGGGGGGGGTGGAATTTAACTTGGTAACACTGTTTCTTCACATACCTCTTAGCTGAAACGCTGGAAGGTCTCTGTGGAAGAACTAATCCACAAATTAGCCCGTTGATTTGCTCAGCTGATGAGGAGTAGAAACAGAGTCCAAAATAAGCTCTTCTTGTGTCTTGAGACATTTTTCTTAGGAAGGGGTTGAGGGGGAAACTGTGTAACCTTTCCTCACGGTGAGAGGGAATGATTTGGACTCAATAAAATTAGACCAGGGATGAATTGTCTTCTCTCTGATACTAAACACTGCAGCACACCCTGCCAAGCGTCAAGCATGGACTTTGGATTTAGTATCGTTAACTAACCCCATTTTCTTTTATATTTCTCACTGTGCTAATATGGGTGAAAAATTATAGCTGATTTTAACATTGAGGAGTTTTTAGAGCTATGCCATTACAATAATTCCTTTTTATAGTTATCAAAATGGTCTTTAACTTTTTTATTTCAGTGTAGTCATGGTATTGTACTGAAATCCAGCATGGAAAAAAAAAAAAATTATGACATTTCAATAAATAGAATGCCCTCTTGTTATATGAACTGAACAAACTGTTGTGCATATAAAAAGCGTCATCAATTTTAATAAGCTATCAGCTCCACAACTGTTCAGGAAAAAACTGCGTGTTGGAAGGGGTGCATTTTGGGGAAGAGGGCTGCAAATGCAATCGATGAGCTGAGTAGAAGTACAAGGCTAGTACAGCAGTACCACAGGCAGTCTGCAAATTGTTAAGAAAATCGAACAAATGTCTCTGTCTTCTGTGTCATCATATCTGAAGCAGCAGTTTGAAGCAACATTGCTGGGCAGGAATATGATAGACCCACGTGCACTTTTCCACGTTAGACAAGCTGGTCATAGCTGTGATCCTGTTCGAGCTATGGCTTCCTTCACCTCTGTACAAACGTACCCCCAGCGTACCTTGTGTGCTTCTACTCCTACACATTCAACAACTTGGATTTATATCCACAAACCCACAGGGACAAATTCTTTAAGCCTAAATGTTAGTGCTTGTATATACATGCTCGCCTCTCCTACAAACACAAACCACTAGATACACAATTAAAAATACAAACCTCTGCAGATATGCATCTTGCTTATGTGAAAGGGTAGCTCAAGTAAAGCTAAAATGCCTATTTTGTCCCTTATAATGGGTTTTCTGTGTGTATATATAATTTCATTTAGTGATAGTGAAGGAAAACTTCATTACTGAACTAATAATGCTGTCTTAAATTAATCCTTCAGCTTGCTGATATTACACCATAGCAATAAAATTTGGGTCCTTTCAATTCAGTTGGTTGAAGAGCAAGTGCTGGAGCCCCCTCAGTGTA